TTCGGCCATCCGGATAACGAGTACGGATCCGAAACCGGACGGTTGGACCTTGCAGCCGGACGCCCCCATGAGGCCATGGAGGCTGCCCTCGACGAGGCGCTCGACGCATGCCCCTTGGCCTGTAGAACAGGATGCAGCCGCTGGGCCTCGAAGATGGACGTGCAGCCTAGGCCATCGCCTGCGCTTGGATGCGCTCGACCACGGCAGTCGCCGCAGCTCGCAGCTTTCATGCGCAAGCCACCACGATACTAGCCAAGGCGTCCATGCTTGCGACGCTGCGAAAAGGCTCGTAGCAACTGGTCCCGCAGCCACGCGCTTGCCGCCATTGTCGATACACGAGCATGCATGCTACGCTGACTTGACTACGCGTGGCCATGGGATGGAGGTGCCGATGCGTCTTGGCTAGTGCACGACTACGGCCATGCTATGTATGTTGTGAGAGCTCCATGAGCTGTTCCGGCAGTCTCCGGCAAGCGTCCTTGCAGCACTTACCACTTGCGCCATCTACCTCAGCCATGAGTTGGGGTCAGGGGGTGGGTACCATGGCCGTGGCATGTGTACCTGCGCGGGCTGCTTGCGCGTAGCTGCTCATATGGGCTCCTTGGACACGTAGCTGCCACGCTTGAGCCGCATGGTAGTACATGCAATGCTATGACGACCGACGAGTCGACGCGTGCTGGGCGAAGGGTTCAAGACGAGAAGAAAATGAGGTTCACACCAGTTTCTTGTTACAAGATCGACCAACTAGAATGCAAAGCAGAGCGCATAGAAGCGCCGCGCTGCACCCAGGCCAAGACGACCCACGTCGGCGAGACGCTTAACGGTACGACTTCTGGAAGCGAGCGCGGGCGCTGGGACCGCCGAACTTCTTGGCTTCGCAGCGGCGGGGATCCGCGACGAGGAGCGTGCGGTCGTAGTCGAGGAGGATGTCCTTGATCTCCTTCTTCGAGGCTTCATCGACGTACTTCTGGTAGTACGCGACGATGGCCTTGGCGATCGCCTGGCGGATGGCGTAGATCTGCGAGGTGTGACCACCGCCCTTGACGCGGACACGGATGTCGACCTAAGAGAATGGAGCATGCCGATCAGTCCCCGTTCGTCCCGAGCATCTTAGATCCCAAGTGCGACATCGGTGGATGTGCAATCATTGGACACAGCACACCGCCAAGACGGCGGTGGCACACAGTAAGATGTGGACCAAGACAGCTACCAAGGCGCGCCAAGAGAGTCGCCTCTCGCCGCGCCCCGATGCACACTGGAGGACGTGATCAAGGCGTAGTAGTACGTACGTTGGCGAAGCGCTGCTGGCCGAGGAGGAGCACCGGCTCGTACGTCTTGGTGCGGAGGATCTCCGGCTCGACGAGCTCGATGGGGCAGCCGTTGACCTTGATGAGGCCGTGGCCGCGCTTGCAGTAGGCGACCGCCGTAGCGTTCTTCTTGCGGCCAAAGACCTGGACCGATTCAATCTTGCTCGCGCCTTCCATGATGTTACTGGTGTGTGATTTCCGGAATGACCTGAAGCCAGCCGTGGCCAATTCCCTCTCTCTTTTTATACTTTGAAAACCTCTGAGAATACATCCTCTCCGCAGTGCCCCACCAGCCATTTGGAATTTGCCACGGGGGTGTTTTATACACCTATGTGCAAAACGTGTTTGAAACTGACTCGCACGTGGCACGCTGCATTGGCAGCACGGCAAGTGTGGCGAGGAGACCTCCTGCGCCGGGTTCATGATGCGTGCAATCGAGTCGTCTCTGCGATGACTGGAAAGCGACGTGACGACGAGAACGATGCAAGAATGGATGGATGGCGAAAGGAAGAGAGCGAGCTCCTCCGTGTCGCCTGGAAAGCCTTGGCGCATGGGATGCATGGACATGGCCGGCCCGTACAAATGTGGTGGTGGTTGTCATACTAGTAGGTATGGGATCGATTGGCGGCGAGTGGTGTGGTATTTGAGGTCGAGTCATCCCATGATCGTAGTCTCCCACAAAATGCTCTAGTCTCACCCCACCATTCATACGAATTTACCAGTTTACTACCTCGTGAAGGTCGCAGAGATCGCACTCAAAGGCGCACGTTGTGCTACTCAATTGAATTTGGCGTCGTCGTTGCTGCCTCCGTTGTACTAGTATTCAATCATCAATCAACATACGTTTCCAGAATTTGAGGACCCTCGGTGCCTTGTGCATAGATAGCCAACTCGGTCTTTGGAGTATACACTGTAGTTTTGTGTGCACTAGCAGTACAAAAACCTCTCTTTCCATGGATCGCTCAATCCCTCGTGTCATGCAACTTACAGTCGACGCTTTCGCCCGCGGCATACAATCATTGCCCCAGGAAACTCGGACACATGAACTGCACCGCCAACGGGACTCCCTTTTCCACCACCAACTCGCTTTCGCTCCTCGCACAATACCAACGCATGCTGATGGATGGTCTTCACGTCCATAGCTTCTTCTTCGACTCGGATATGAATACAAACATGTTGTCCATCCTCCTCGTGGTGAGCTTGTATGCTCCTTGGCGATCTGCCTTCACGCGCAATGTTTAAAACACCGGATGGTTTCCAGCATAAAAACATCCGCGCCCACCAATCGATTGCTTCGGCGTCGCTGATTGGCCAATCGATTTGGACCAATGAATACGGCGGTGGTCAGCCCGGGCAAAGCACAACCCTTTGCTTTGGCCGCCCAACGAGCAAGCGACGATGCGTCCGTTGACCGATGAAGAGATGAAGACCGTCTTCGAGAAGATCTCGAAATAGTACTACGACCTTGTATCGATTCGCTGTGCTAACGTCGTCTGCGTGTAGCATTGGCCGCAACGTGCAGCACTTGGTCGTGCGCCCGGACGAGAAATTCTGCTTCCGCCTCCACGGCGACATTGTCTACTACGTGAGCGAGAAGCTCATGCGCCAGGCCACCAACATTGGCACGGACCAGCTGCTCTCGCTCGGCACGGCGGTCGGCAAGCTCACCAAGACGAA